AAATACCAAAAAAATATTAGACGAATGACGAGATATTACCTTTGAATTGCGGGATAATACTAAATACTGGAAAAATAAGCGTTAAAGTATGATCGAAACAGACTTAGAATACAAGTGGAAGTTTAAGGTTAGAATGGGTGTTCCTACTACTCCATATAAAAAACATTATTTAATATGCATAACTTTAGAATTCACATAGCACATAAAAAATTAGAAGTTCACTAGACCCCTTCTTTATTTCATAAAAATTATTGCTGGAACAAATAAAATATTATTTATATAATAAAAAATACAAAAAAAAACTTTATTTATGGTATCATTTTTACGATGATATAAATATAATTTTGTTCAGGATTTGAAGAGAAATGTAAGTAGATTATGAATTAGCCAGGGCGGCCCCCCAAAGTACAGTCACATGATGAACACAGCAGCTGCAGCTATATGTTTCTAAACTCCAACAATCGTAAATTCAGAAATTGCTTATATATTCTAACAATCGTATATTATCATTTCCTGATTGGTGAAGATTCATCATGTGACTGTACTTTGGGGGGCCGCCCTGGCTAATTCGTAGATTATACTATCTGGATCCATAGTTACAAATAAATCCTTCGTGGCAGAGAAAATTTGCGAAGCCAAAGATTGGCATTAGCCCGAATTTGTTTCCATTAAAAACATTAAACATTACCGGTAATTAACTAATCCATCAATCAAATAATAGCATTTGAAAGCAATATTAATATAATTGTTTTCGCCCATTTTGCGTTCCCCAAATATAAAAATACATAATGAATAAGTAGTAAGGTCCATTATTTTCTCGCGCAAAAAATTTTGCAGAAGCGTAACAAACATTACCCTTGAACTTTTTTTGATATATATATATATATACATATGAGCAATGTTATTGCTACTCACCTTAAACTCAAAACTCGCTCATTTTTATACCGTTCGTCCGCTAGATCTAAAAAAAAAAAAAACCAGTGATGTAACAGTAATTACGTTAACAAAATTCAACAAAATTTTTTTTCTCTGTAAAGCAACTCCAAACACAGAATTTATTTCGCTGTATTGTTAGATTTTGATGATCGCTCCCTAAAACTCGAAGTTTGACATGTGAACATTAATAATTTCTCTTCCCTTATCTTTATAGCCTTTTTAAGTCCCATCCGTGTATGTTCTTATCGCAAAGGTCATATATAATAGAAAAGAGTTCGTAGATAATACAGTCAACCTCACCTCCTCTATAGTCACAAAATTGGTATAATTACAAATTTATTTTTACCAATTATTTATAACTATATAGAAAATACCTCTATATTAGTCGCAATCACGGTTTTTTGTATCCCGAAGGTGTGACTATAGAGGGGTTTGACTGTATTCGGGGTTTGACTGTATTCATTCTAACGAAATCGACGCAAAATTACCGTAATTTTGGTAAACTTGATTTCATGTAATTTGTAAGAAACGTGATCATTTAATCATATTATTGACCTTAAAAAATTTCGCTGCAGAAAGCATTTTCATAGGTAAAATGTTGAGCCATGAACGGTTTTTTGATGAAATTTTTAAGTGGGAAAATGTGTACCAGGTTGGGATCGGATGATCGTTCGGATGATAGTCCGGATTATGGTCCGGAAATAAAGTCTTCGATTATTATGTTTTTTTTCTAATCGGTAAGACTTGATTTTTTCAAGTAAATAACGATCATGTAAAGCAATATTTAACGCAATTTACAATGTATATACAACACAAAGAAATAATACAAATAATTTGAAAATTGTTTAATCATTGGCTTTAGTTAATTGGTTTGTTTTTTTTTTGTGACATTATTCAATAAATTATGTACAGTCGACTCTGAATTAGAGTTGGTGAAACTAAATTATGGTGACTATCTACAATCTGATTAGCTATTGCACCTAATAGCCAATCAGATTTTAGATAATCACCACAACTCTATTCTGAATATTCAAATTTTGGAATTTCATAATATCGATATATAGTTCGGTATTAAAAGTGCCATGTGTTTTTAATAAAATAGAGTAATTTTCTATAACGAACTTTTTTTTTTCTTCCAGATTCTTTATAGAAATAGTTGATTGCACTCTTTTTTACTCTTTTTGTGGTTAATCTTTTATTATACTTCATCTTAGATTAATATTTTCTTTCTGTACACGATTTTTTTTTTTTTTAAATTGATGTGGCAGAGCTCTAACTTTACTTCGACTGTGATAAGGAATCTTGTCGAAAAAGATAAGGCACTAACTTGCCCATCATTAAATATTTAGATTTTCCATATCCTTTTTTCGAAATATTCTATGCAGTAAAGAAGTTAATTAATATACGTTTAAAAAACTTTTCAACAGGTATTATATGCTTATTTAGATCTTATCGCTATGTTATTTTTATTTTTATTTTTGCAGGAAGAAAAGACAAATGAAACATGTTAAGCTAACGCTAATGACAATATCGATTAACTTTTTATGTACATATGTAATGTTTAAATGATGCAAATACGTAATTTTGGTTTCTTATCACTTCGACCTATTTTTTCCGGACGATCATTGATACACGTTTTCTGGGTGCTAAAAAAAACAAGTATATAAAAACTAAAAATAATTATTTTTTTAAAAAAAACACATTGTCATAAAAATTCATTTAAAGAAATGACTTTTTTTGTGCGATAAGGCCATACAAACTTAATTAATTGGTTTTCATAACCCGGCCGGGTCAAAATTTGAAAATTTGTAAAAAAAATTTTTGTTGTTTTAAATAACCGGGTGGGTATTTTAAAAAATTTTTAAAAAAATTTTATAAATTTTTATATATGAAATTTAAAAAAAAAAGCCGGCCGGCCGGGTCTGTTTAAAAGTTTCATGTTATGAAAACCAATATATTAAATTTGTGTGGCCTAATTAAAAAAATACTTAAAAATTTTTTAAATAATATTTGATAACTCTATCGTTAATACTAGACCTCCCTAAATACCTCTCTAAATGCAACTTTTAATTCTGGCCCAAATATATACTAAACTTCCATAAATGCAATTTCCTTATTGTTCTTTAAATGCAAACTCACAAAAGTCTGATCCCTACGAATCGCATTTAAGGGGTTGGGCTGTAAAATATAATCCCAGTCGACAGCAACTTGGAGAAAAATTACATAGTAAATTCGAAAATTAGTAATATCTTAAAAAAAAAATTGAAACAAAAAAAAAAAACCGTATGTAATTGTCAGATAAGTAGGTGTTATGATTATACTTATAGAGGAGCTATTTTATAACTCGCGAAGTTGAATTTTTAAATAAATGTAAAAAGGTCAAATAATCAATCAAAACGTTTGTGTAATTGTTAAACTCTTTCACTTATATATGAGGCGTACATGCCTGAATTATGGAAATTTTAAAAAAGATGGATTGGTTATTTTTCGTGAGTAGTGTTACCGAATGAGCATTATCCAAACATATTTATAATTTATAATGATGATATTTTTCTGCATGTAAAAAATAAATAAAACCACATTTAATAAATGTATGGGTGTTCCTTTTTTGGAGGTAAAAAAACAAAGTTCTCCAAGGAAAAATAAAATTCTTATCCGAAAGAAAGAGAACTTTGTTAATTTTTTTTTTTTCTTTTTCAGTTTGTACTTGTACCCAATGAGCACGCATCAACATTCAATATCTGAAAATGTTTCGGCTACAAACACGTCTCATTCAACGGTTACATTAAAACCTCTTCCTACAACTTCAAGATTTTCAACAAATTCGTCAGAAACAGGTGAAAACATTTCTTTAGAAGGAGATGAGACAGACCAGACAAAATTAATAAAGGAAAAGAATGGAGTACCGATACAACCACCCAAAGCAGCTAAAGGTGGTATACAGTCATCATCATCTTCAATAGCGGACCAGGAAGAGTCATGTGATCGTAGAAATTCCAAGTCGTTGTTAGGGAGGTCACTTTCTTTTCTAAATCGCAAAGAAGAACGACAGTCACAGTTAGTAAAAATACATAAATATACAATTTATGATAATGAAAAAGAAGAATTTATCGAAATTGTAGAAGAAGAATGGGAAGGAGATGGACCACCACCACGACAATCCATAACTTCACAACATAAAAGTATTATTTTTGTTGATAAAGATTTACCAAGTTTACCAGAACCAATTCCCAAGAAAGAAGAAAATAAATTTATAAAATTTTCTAAATGGGCCGCAAAGAAATGGCTTCAAAACAAAAAAAGAAATATAATCACTTTAGGAGTTACTTTATTTGTATTTTTTATTCTTATCATCCTTGCCGCTGCTGGAGTTTTCTCGAATCATGGAAATAGTAATAATGGTCAAGGAAATGATAATCATAGCGTCAAATATATAACTTCTTCTAATCACGGCTCTTAATGTAGTATGTAACCGCATTTCTTTTTGATAACTTTGAATTTCATTCTCTTTAACTACGTAAAATTGGGACAATAACTAAAATCGGGGTATTATAATTACTCAAGGCTGGCTTTTATCATAGAACTTCAAAAACGGGTTAAGTTTAAAAAAGAAGTATTACATATTACTTTGATTCTTGATCAAATATTTAAATTTTTATATAATTATCTTATTTAATGATTATTATTATTATTATTATTATTATTATCATTATTATACGTATCATCTTTTTTTTAATTAAACTCTGTTTAGGATCTTTCTTTATACCGTATACACCAGGAATTTATTCTGTAGATTATTCTTTTGCTTAAAGCTAGTGTATAATATTTAAATTTCTGTATACAAGATAGATATCGATATATATCTCAGTTTTATCAGCATTAGAAAAAAAAAAAATAGAATACAATAGTGTAAAGCAAGTAGTATATGCCATAAAGAAAAAAATAATATAAAATGAACAAAAAAAAATCAACTACCGTCTTACATGCATCTTTTAATCAGTTATAAAAATAAGAGTGAAAAGAATTTCCAATCGTTAAGATCGGTTCAATTTATCTTTATTATTTTAATTGTTATCAGGTTGTTTGATTTCTGATTTTATACAATAATTCGATGTATCAGATATAGAAGAAACTCCATATACATCAAAGTATGCTGATTCACAAGGTGCAGACGTTGGCGAGTTCCCTTGTGAACAAGTAGGAAATGTAGTAGTCTTCAGGGGAATTTGAATGTTTTGGGATGAAGGTTGTTCATTTGTAATTTGGTTTGTGGATGAGAGAATAGTAGTGTCGGAATCTTTAAGCGTTTCATGGTTTAATTCTTTGCATTCATCAATGCATATTACAGAATTCTCTTTCTTAATAGACATATCAACCTTTGTTCAACGTTTAAACTGAGGAAGAAAAAAATGACCAAATTCATATTCTATTGTTTGCATATGTATTTATAATTTAAATTGTGAGACAAATTTGGTCACAAAGTCCTATTACCGTTATCGTTATTGTTATAACGATAAAAGTATTATTTATTTCCTTAGATGTTGAAAATAATATAGTGTCTTTCGATAGCATGTATGAGGCGTAAAGCGCCTCATACATGCGCCATTGAGGAGGTGTTTCAATTATTTGCCGACATAGCGATGCGTAGCGATAGTGGAATAAATTTGTCGTTTAAGTACAGGTACCGGTACCCTGCACGCACTTATTCGCGTGAGTAATACAAACCCTAAAAAGGAAATGGCCAATCGGAGTGCACAAAATTTGGATCAGTCCGACATGAATTCCGAACACGTGCGAAATAAGAAAAAAGCGAAAATACTCAAAAACTAGTGTTTTAAATCGACCTTGGTGCAACAATCTATTGTTATAGCCTCTAAATTTCTATCTTTATGCACTTAGTAGTTTATTTACAAAATTCGATTTCCTTTTATGGTTTGCGTTACTCGCGCCTGCCATAATATGTATGTATAGTTAATAAAGTATGTATGTATAGTTCGTAAAAGAAATTCTTAAGAAATTCTAATTATAAACTATTCTAAACCTAACATGAAAAAGGGTAATATTAGCACTCATCCTAACCCTAACTAGAGATTGAACCCGTTGAGAAAATCTCAACCCGGGTATTATTAATTTACCTGGGTTATCCGGTTAAGTTATTATATATATTTCGGGTAATCGTATAGTATTTCTACCCGGGTTCAATCCCTAACCCTATTTTATAAGTTTTGCTAATCATACATACTTTCGTAAATTTTCTTAGCTTACATATATATACGTACAAACAATGGTTTACTTACATGCTAACTTACGTATTTCTGTAATACCCGGCAAAGCATACATACAATTTCTCTTATTTGGAAAACAATAATTTGTTGTTGTTATAAATTCATCTCTTTTACACCAATCACAAGTTTTTTTACCTGACACGTACGTAACAATTAACTAATTCTTCCCACTGTCCTATTGGTCGAATTTCTGGCCAACCAAAAGCGTTTATTTGTACTAATACCAGAGAGAACCGATTTCTTTTTTTTAATTTATTTTGAATTAACTCTTTAACAAAGATTTATATAGCAATTAGTCTAGCTATATTGTAGATTGGACAATTTCAAGATTAGATATTGCGTTAAATCGAAATGATTACACTGGTGAAAAGAGACATATCTCAAAAATGGCAAGTTACCAGTAAGCTTTGTCCGGGCCATTTTGTCTTATGCTAGCAGAAATTAATACGTAGTAATCTGGTAACTTACGTATGTACCACTAAATTTTATTAGCTTAACCCCATTAACAGCCCTGCTCTGAATGATGATCACTGGTAGTTTTAATTTTGTTTAACAAATTATGAACGTTTTATGCAGGAAATACCTAAAGATGATTTAAAATATGCACTATGCGTAATCCCTTAACTGTCACACTGTTATTGTGAGGTTTGAAAGATAGATTAAAATATAATTTGATAGAACACAGGCAAAATTTGCCTGTAAGACGGTTTAGGATATACGTAACATTTACGATATCTGACGTGCTAATTATTTAATACGCGTATAATACAAACAAATTCATTTTAGCATCAGGCAAACCATATGATTTTAATAAAGATTGATCAAATCAGACATCGCATTAAAATAATGTATCGAAAAAATCAAGCTGATATATATCTTTAAAAAGAAAATAAAATGATTAAATCAATATCCTTTTATAAAATTGTCTTGAATTATCGGTTATGGACAATGTTTCTTTGTTTGAGTAGTACATAACAACAAAAAGATGGAGAATCAATGCATTATTGTATTAGTGTTAATAATTTTAACGACTTATTCTTTGGTTCTTTCATTTCCTTTTGAAGAAATATACTCAAGACAAGCGCCTGTAGTTTTACCTGTTACTTGCTCAATCCAACCCGATACATCCCCTGCACAATGCTCGGTAATCGAACCTGCTACATGTCCAATCCAACCCGATATTTGTCCTGCAGAATGCTCGGTAATCGAACCTGATACATGCCTAATCCAACCTGATATTTGTCCTGCAGAATGCTCGGTAATCGAACCTGATACATGTCCAATCCAACCTGATATTTGTCCAATCCAACATGATATTTGCCCTGCAGAATGCTCGGTAATCGAATCTGCTACATGCCCAATTCAACTCGCTACATGCCCGATTTTTCCAGAAGGATGCTCTATACCAAAAATTGTCACAGGATCTTGTTTATCTAATAATGAATTTCAATTAAGTTCAGAAGAATTACATGAGTTAGAAGAACTTGATGAACAAAAGCAACAAG